AGAGAATGAGAAAAAAGTTTTAAGGGTTTTTTTGTCTTTTCTCACACTTTTATTTTTTATATCTTGACAGCTTCTGGTCTGACTTTAATGTGAAAAATGTACTCCTGAACTCTTTCTTGCAGTGTCATTGTACTTTGAAATGACTCTGTTACAGCTGGAAACGCTGACTGTCATTATGGCTCTGTTCTGTGCAGTGGGGTTCACTGGAGAGCAAAGCCAAGCAGTAGAGGGAGGCTTGTTTGTGAATGGAAGGTGATGGAATTTTTCCTGCTTCGGTTGGGTGATGGAATTTTACCCCTCAGGGTGACTGTGGAGGGTTCTCCTCATTTTCTTTGTGAGTGTAAAGCTGAGGAGATGAGTCACAGGATGGGCTCTGAATGTAGGAAGTAAACAGTGCCATCCTCCTTTCCTGGCTACTGCACTGCCTTCTGAGTGAGTCAGGGAGAGCAGAGGGGGCTGCTCATCCCTAAATCCTCACTCACAGTGCTCAGATGATGAATAAACTCGTAGTAAACTTCCACACTGTAATCATCCTCCTCCTTTTCCTCCTGCCAGCCCCAGGAGTCAGAGTTTTCCCAGGCCAAACCACCTTGGGCAGCCCGGCTGGGGTCTCTGAACAGCATCCCTTGGCAACGTGAGAGAAAATGACCCACACAGCTGGTCCAGAATTAATTATTTTCCTATAATTGATGAGTTCCAGAATAGCTTTCCTTGTGGAGACACCCTATTCTGGGGCACAGTGTGTTTTTATTCAAGGCTAATGCCTGCAATCCCAGAACAAAATAATTATTATGAACAGAGCCATTTTTATAGTGGAATAATGTACATGTGTAGTTTGATCTTTGTGGTGTTTCAGAGGGGGCTGGTGGGAGGGGCTGGTGATTTTTCTCCTGTACAGACAAGCCATTGATTGCCTCTGTGAGTCATGGATAACATCATAGCACTTACTGGCACCACATTACTTGAAATGATTCCTCTCTTACAAAGAGGAGTGTCTCTATGAGCTCGCTCTACAGTTCTGATGATGCTGCAGGAAAGATGAATTTTAACGTTTTCACAGTTTTTCCACAGGTGCAGGATTGGCTTCTTGTTTGTTTTCAGAGAAAAAGGATATTGAAAGAGTTGCAATTTTAAACAGTTGTTGTTCCTTGCACCTTCAGCTTTGGAATTACTGATGGCTTATGGAAGACTTGGCTCCTGTTAAATAGTTTGCTAAAACAGAGAGAAGATTAGATGTGAAATTTGGTTTTATGTTCCATCAGGAACTATTTTCCTTTTTAGCTACAAAATGATGGTTTTAAAATACTTTCCTCTTACTAAATCTCAAAATAGATGCATTGTTTCTAACACTGACCTGCCACTGCCACCACTATCCTCCAGCAGGATACTTGTTTTATTTCTTATTAAAAAGTAGGAAATCTAAGAAATTCAGTGAAAAAGTCAGAGAAATCTTGAGTTCCATGAATGGCAGATTTTTGTTGCACAGTCTGTCCTGCAGCTGTGGCTTTGCTTCTCTATTAGTCCTGTGCTGCTTTTTGTGGTGGCACTCCAGGGACAAGCGAGATTAAAACCAAAAATAATGAATAATTTTATGGTTAGATAAAGAAATGACCAAGAGAACAGAACAGAAACTTCATTTGAGGCCTGAGCTGGGCAGGGTAGGGACCAGGAGGGGACATCTCTGATGCTCAGCACTGTGTGCTCTGTGTGTGCCTGCTGCTTTCCTCCTCTCTGTGCCTCAGAAACATCACAAGGGGATTTTCTTTCCACCTGTACTCTGCGTTTGCAGCATGAGCTGGGCTATGAGGATAGTGCCCAACTCTGCAGGGAAGGATTTTCAGCATAAAATTGCAGTGATGATGTTTTAAAAGCTGACCTGTTGCTGTAGGGGTCAGTAGTTCCTTAATCCAAATAAGTGTCTTAAAAGGGGCAAAGCACCTGCAGAGAATCTGTTACAAGGGAAAAGTTTTCCAAAATTCCAACTAAATATCTCAATTCACATCCAGCAGTGTGTTATTTCCCCTCAACACCCCCAGTGCCCCAGACTGCTCTGTCTGAGAAAGCACTGGGCTCTGGGGAAGCTCATTTTGTCCCCATTTACATTTCCTCAGCTCTTGCTCTCTTTTGGTGCCTAATTAGAATGAACCCACGTTCTGGTCTAATGTTCTGCCCTCTTTGATCTTGCTGGAGTGCTTATTAAAGGAGCAGGTGATTTTTCCATGGCATTATTGCACACCAGAAAGCTCCAAATGGTTCTGGTTTCTGATTGTTGCTGTAAGGAGATGGATGCTGTGGTGCTGATGTGCTGAATTAAGAAGGTGGGGTGTTGGCCTGCCATCGTATGAAGTATTTCCTTTTAGATCTTCCTCCAGCATCATAAAATGCTGCTAAATTCAGATATCATATTTTGTTGCAGGCTGGTTCTAGGACAAAGCCCAGCCCTGTCTGCTGATGTTTATGGCTTCCCATATAAGCCTTCAGACAGAATTTGTATCTCATTTTGTTTGAGTTACAGCAGGATGATATCCCAGTCCTCGTGCCAGTTCTGAGCAGAGGCACTGAAAAGTTGCCACTGTAATGAAATGGAGGAAAGGGAAAAACATCCCTTTTAAACTTCCTGTAAATCACTGCTTGAGAGAGATAAAATATCTGCATAAAGTGTGTGTGGGAGTCCTGTAATGTAAACACAAATGCATTTAAGCCTTGTCTTGTTTTTGGTTTGTAACTACGTCAGTGTTTAAATCTCCTCTGCAACCTGGCGTGTCTTGGGAGGAGATTTTAGCTCTTGCTCCAGAAATCAGAGGGTACTCTTGCTGCTCTGGCCCCTTGCTTATCTATTCGGTTGCTTATCTGTATGGCTGTAAAGTTTTTAGGTTAAATTCAACTTCTCAAAAGTATTGCTTTCAAATGTAATTCAATTTATTTACAATTAATCCAGAAAGGGGCTTGTCTGCATTTGAATGTTTAGCAAAGAAAAAATACCCTTCCTCCTCTTCTGCCTCAGCTTTCCCAGGATCAAAGTTCACTTTTTGCTCCTGAGTTGGGAAATTGCAGGATGGCAGAACGCATCAAAGTGCCCTATAATAATAATTATAATGGTTAATAAAGCACAGAGCAGAAATGGGGCTGCTAAAACCTCCCTTGGTGACTTTCTGCCTGGGGAGGGAGAGCACCCACTGCCCATCATCCACATGGGATGGGAGATGTGGCAGGGAAGGACCAAGGACAATTCTCCTGACTAGAAAATTGGATGTCCCATGTGTGATGCCACTGCCAGTTTCTCCTCATCCGGGTTATTGCGTTTCACCGTGGCCTGTGCTGGTGTGCTCCAGAGCTGGGCTGGTGTTTATGATGAGAGCAAGGCAGGGGACACCCAGCTGGGGCTGCATTTGCCTGTGAAGCTGAGAGGAAACCCTGACCTGATCCCCAGGTGCAGTGGTGAGTGAGGAGATCGTTGGCAGAGCGTTTCCTGCTGAGATTTTTTTTCTTTTTTTTGGCTGCTTTTGTATATTTTTTGCATGTTTATTCATTCCCACAAAGCATATTCCAATGGCTGAGAAACCTCCTTGACACAAGAAAATATACAGCAAAAGTAAAGGCAAAAGTGGGGAAATGAGAGGCTTTTAAACAAGTTTAGATAATATCAAACTATGGAAAAACAAATGACCAGAATTTCAACTGAGAACAAGTATGGAGCAAAGTCAAATGGATGGGATTTGCCCTAGAATCTGTCTTTGATAAATGTAGGCTTTAAAAATACACAACCTGAAAAAAATAGCTTAAATATTAGAGCTTTTATCTCTGCTAAATCGTGGCTGCAAGTATCTGAGTCATCTGGCTGGAGCAGGTGTAATTGTTTGTGTGTTGTGTATCTGCTGTGCCCAGCCCTGCCAAGCAGAGAAATCAGCACTCAGCTTGGGAGAGACAACGAGAGCTCTGACCTTAGGCTCTGTCACTGTGCCTCTGTTATCTCTGTGCATTATGGAACTGCTGCATTCTAATTCCTTGGCTTGCTGTTTGTTTCCTCCCAGGCAGTCCCAGGAGCTCAGATTCAGCTTTTTGTTGCAGTGTAGGAATTGGTAGTTTGAAAGAGCCATTGTTTCTGGTAGGATCACAGCCCAGACTGAATATATCTCACTATTAATTAGAGACCAGCCCAAACCAAAGGTGTCTGTTTGATCCCTCCCTCCCTCTGGAATCTTTTCCTTCCTGGGAAAAATCGCTCAGTGCTGGCTGGAGGATTGACCATTGTGTTGTAGAGAAACTTTTGTTGTTTCCAAATGTGTTTTATCCTCCTCAGGAATTAAACCAAAAAATCTTTCTAAGTGTCTGAGAACCTTCTGTGTGTAAAGGATTTCTCCTTCTCTCAAGTTCACTCTTGCCTCTAAATCCATCCCACTGAGACCTCTATCAAACCCATATATTTTTTTGTGAAAAGTTTTGGTTTCAAGAACATGAAGCTTTTATCAGGTTCTCACTAAATTCCAAGCTGCTGACCTGGCAGAATGGATTGGGGGTGATGCAGATGTTCAACCCCCATTGCTTGGTGTGTTAGTGATGGTAGATTAAAGGAAATGTTCCTTTTTTACTGCTTAAACTGCTCTGTTTTGCTGCTACTAATATTCAATATGCCAGTTTCTTAGGCACGTTGAAACAAGGGTGAGGAGAAGTTGAAAGTTTGATCTGATGATAAAAGAAAAAAAACAAAAATAGACTGCCAGTGAAAAGTTTGGGAAGTTAGTTTGGGATCTGGCCAATCAATCCTCTCTTGGTGGTGCCCAGTCCTTGATGAGTGGCTTTCAGCAGGTAACAGCCTGGGGAAGGTGGGAAGGCTCCAGCCTGAGCTCTGAACAGAAGTGTTACCCACGTACCTGTGTCAGATTGTTCCGTAAGGCCAGCAGCATTGATCTCCTGTAATCCATTGCTTTTGTCAGAAGCTGAGGGCCGTGCTGAGCAAACCTTTGAGTTTCTTTCTGTTTCCTTTTCTCTTTGGCCCGCAGTGGTGGAGAGCCGAGGAGGGATCATGGACAGCATCCAGAGATTCTCCAGCCTGCCAACGTATCTCCCTGCGAGCGCCCACATCTCCAATGCTGACACCTTCTTCTTCCTCAAGGAAGCCAACCAGGATATCATGAGGAACTCCAGTTTGCAGTCTAGGGTGGATTCATTCTTTATATACAAAGCCAAACAGCCACCTGTCCTAAATGCCACGTACGGACCCTTTTCTGTTGAACAACCCGTTCCCTTGGACCTCATGCTGACTTCTGCATCTTTTGGTTTCACAAATAAATTCACTTTTAACTGGAAATTAAAATCCCACATAATCAACAGCTCCATCTATTCCAACAAACCCAAAATACAAACCTTGTTCTATATCGCGGGGAAGGACTGGGATGACTACGACCCTGAGGAGATGCTGCCTTGTGTGAAGATGTTTGCTTTCCTGGAGTCTAGGGAAGTGGTGGCCAGCTGCAGGCTGACAGGCCACCTAGGATTATGTGTTGTGGAGTTGGAATTGTCTCCCAGCTGGTTCAGCTCCCCTCCACCCCTGCTTTCGGAGGAAACAGCCTCCCTGGAAGGGATTACTGTGGAGCTCTTCTATAAGATTTATACAGTGGATGGGGAATGTTCTCCAGAGGATGCAAAGTGGGAAAACAATATCCATGCAGGTGAAGAGAATGAACACCAGGCTTTGTCAGCTATGGAGAGGATTGGTAGCATCGTTGTTTACCCAAATCAAGACAAATTAAAGCAGTCTTCGCTGAGGGTGGATGAAAATATCATTATTCACTTACCACTCAGCCCGGTCAGAGAGGGTGACATTGTGACCTTCCATGTTTTCCTGGCTGATTACTCACTTGCAGACCAGTTTGTATTAAGGTAAGAAAATTTTTAAGTGTTGTAAGCAAAACAAATAGGGGCAAATCAATGCTGGGTGTAAATCTTTGGTTATATTTAGTGTTTTCTTGAGAGAACTTCTGCATTTACTCTTCAACAGGGGAAAACTATAGATAGTCTTGAATTATCTGTGTGGAAGACACTTTTTGGACCATGGGCATTGATTTTAAAGTATGGGCTATAAATCTTTGTTTGATTATTTTTTGTTTTAATTCTGTTTGCTTATAGTCATAATTCTGCCTCTTAAATTCTGCCTCTGTAAGTCAGCCAGGGTAACTGCTGTGATGTATTTTGCTAAAGAGTTTGCAGGAGGCTTTTCTGTTTCTTTGGTGAAGTTCCATCTGTTTTTATTGACTTTATCATCATCATCTTTCCAAAATCCACGGGCTACATCCTGCACAGGTCAAATATGGTGAGAACTCTTGCTGCATTGTACAGAGGTGAGAAAATGAGCTCAGCCTGTGTAGGAATCCCTTGGTAGAGGCAAGTTTTGGGGCTAAACTTTGCAAGTTGTCTTCAGTTTTCCTATAAGATCATCCCATCCTGCCTCTTAAAGCTTTTACTGCTAGTTTTGTGACCCATTTTTGTTTCAAGTTGGGGGACTCTCTGTTGACCTTTCCTTGTGAATCCGCCTGTAATAAGAGAATTCAGGCATTTCTAACCACCCCGAGGGTTAGTGCTGAGTGTTTGTTACGTCCTTAGCTGTCAGACTCTGGGTTCAGAGCTGCAGAGGGACCAAATTCAGAGAGAAATGTGAGCCAGACTGGGGGAATAAAAGGGCCAGAAGGTAATTGGAAAGTGTCATCTGCTGTAAGGATGTGAGATGCTTGGGAAAGAAGGAGCTGCAGCCCGTGCAAGGAAAGCTCAGAGCAGATTCCTGCCTTACTTCCAACTTTTTGATCTGAGAAGAATGGGAGCAGAACGTGACACAAGTGCACTTTAGGGACAGATGTTGAGAAAACAGACAGCAAACTTTATGCAGCACTTTCAAATCATTCAGCATTTGTGAAATAGCACATGCATATTAATAAACTTAGAGATTGCTGCCTGAACAGGGACAAGGGATTCACAGCACAGCGCCGCTAACGGGGGAGATGTCTGAGAAATGTAATGGGGTTTAACCAAACTTTAAAAGGTTTAGGTCGGGAAGGGGCTTCCTTTAAACGCAACTTATTCGTGCTCTTCTGTGGATTTACTGTTTTTAATTTGTTAAATATGGATTTGGCCAGGATCCACCGTCAGTGGCTGGACTGGCCTCACGGAGCAGTCGGGTTTCAGCAGGCGTGTATTGATCCTCGGTGCTATAGCAGAGAGATTATAGAATTTGCCTAAGGCTCTGCAAGGATTTAACATCAGCTCTTAATTCTCAGGGTTTTGTTCTCTTCCCCACATCACAGATAAAATTCCCTAGGTATTAGAGACAACCTAAGACGAGGATGTTTTCTTTCCACTGGAATTTTTAAAATACCATTTACCTCGTAACAAATGGTGCAAGGGTAGATTTTTGATATTTCTGCTGGTCAGGAAATAACCAAAAACTTCTTGCAGAGACACTTTTGAAATGCTGTCTTATAGTTGCTGGAAGCACTGAGCAAGTGAGTGGCCTGGGTTTTCAGGGCAGCAGAAATGGAGGAAGCAGACAGCTCCCAGGCTGGGGAGCCCCAGGATGATCCACAGGAGCCTGGCTGCTGCTGAGACCTCACCTCGTCCCACAGCCTGTGGGATTTGCATGGCTTCAGCTGCCAGGGCTTCTCCCAACATGTGGAACGTCCACCTCAGTGCTCCTGAGCTTTGGGAAGGCAGGTTTCCATGGGGATTTCCTTCTCTGAAAAGTGTGTGGAATCTGTTCATGTCCAGCAAATGTTTCTGGTACAATAAATCAGCATGTTTTACGTGCCCAGAAATATTTCCTTGGAAAATTCACTGTTGGCTCTCTGTAGTCTAGCCTGTCTGGGCTTTTATTTGGCTTTGCTTGCATTGTGCTTTTCATCAGAGAAACTGGAAGTATTTCTATTTACCCTTCAGTGGAATGCTGAGAGGCAGGATGAAATTCTGATGGTGGCTCACCTGCCCTTTAGAATGGGAAGAGTACCTGCAACTGTTGCTGTGATTATTTTGAATGATATATGTTGGCTCCCTGGAGAGATTTTCAGCTGAAGTTTCCATGGAAGGCAGGGAATGATGCTGAGGGAAATACAAGCACTGTAGTGCCTACATCTAATTTATTCAGTTTCCCTCACCAGCTTTCCCTGGTTTTCTGCTCAATGTTAATGCCTGTGAAAACCCAGAAGGTTTTATATACATAGAATTTCTGTGTGTTATAGCCAGAGCAAAATACATTGAAGTGAATGTTTGCCTTGGGAAATATATTTTTACCTAATATAACTGATAGTTTTTAATCATATCTGTTGTAAGTGCAGCAGGGTCTGGCTCATATGAGAGGATAGATCAAACCCAAGCCATTCTCAGCACAGCCTTGAGCTCTGACAGGATGCAAAGGAGCAGATATGCTCAATTTTATTCACCTCTTTACTGTTTCATGCTGTGTTGCATAGTATTTTATTTTATGCTGGATTTTTCCTAGCAGAACTGACTTCAATTCTCATATGGGAGCTGCTTCTTTTTTTGTTTTGGTGAAATCTGTGATTCTTAAGCAAGCTTGGAAACGGAAAAGCAGTTGGAAGCAGTTCCTTGATTCAGCAGTGTGCTGTGCTGAGAGACACCCCTTGTTGGATCCTCCCAGTTCTGTCACTTCCAGGGTGACACTGCAGCTTGTTTGTAAGCTCCAGCCATCACTTCCAGCCCCTTCCATCAGTCCAAACTGCCTTTGCTTGGCTTGAGCTAAGTCTTGGTTATTTTGGTTCAACAACTTGAATTTCAGGTGGAGTTGGAGCTCTAGTGGTGCTGTGTTTTAAATAAAATATATTTTTTCCTTATCTTCCTGGAATGCAGCCAGCGTGTGAAGGACACAGGTGTGTCAAGGGGCAGAATTTGGGGACAGAGTGTGCATTTAGTGCCTTTGCTGTGCCTGCCACTCATATTGCTGCCTTTGTTGACAGATGATCTATACATGTGTGTGATGAAATGCTTGTGACACTGGAGATTAATTTGTGGCCTTGCTGGTCTGATCTGTACTGCAAAATTCACCATCTGGGAAGATAAATTTTGCCCATTATGTTTGGTGGCTTGTCACTAAGCATAGTTTAACTGTAAAGGTAGGTGAAATGGGCTGTGTTGCCATGATTAAACTCTTTTATGGGCCACCTTTTAAAAAAAAAAGGGTAAAAATGAAGGACAGCTTTGAGATTCCAGCAGGACTCGTGCATATTTTAGTGTCACAAATTTTCAGGCACTTTTTGTCCTTTGATGTGCTGGACTATCTCAGTTTCCTTCTTCACTGACAAACTTAGATGAAATGTAGTAAATGAGAAAAGAAAATATGGAAATCGTGACTACAGAAGGGGTAACAGCAACTTCAGTGCTAATTGCTAAACAGAAGAAGTCTCCTGATACATGGAGGAGTTATAAAAGAGACAGGAGAAAACAATTCCTGCTTAACTGGAAGAACAGAAATCTCATCTAATAGCACTGGGAATGGCTTCTATTTCTTCTGTGCTGTTTGTTATTATTTAACTCCATCTTGAGACTCAGAGGATGTATTTAAAAGAAAAATGGGAGTCAATTTGTACAGCAGGAGAACGTTTAATGGAATAAATGGACAATTGCCCCTTGGTTATAGGAAAGAAATGAGAACACTCTCTTTAGGAGCAAACAATGGATTTTTGGCCTGTTTTCCAAGCCTCCCCATCCAAACTGTCAGTGAGGATGTGCTGCTCATGACAGCTGAGCATTAACAGCAAATTGTCACACACAAAACGTGGCTCTGTTGGCATTCTTCACCCTCCCCAACAGCAAGGAGCCATCCTTCTTTTGTGCCTGGTCAGAATGGAGCTGGAGATTGGGGAGATTGGAGATTGGGGAAATTGGAGATATTGGGGAAATTGGAGATATTGGGGAAATTGGAGATATTGGGGAAATTGGAGATTGGGGAAATTGGAGATTGGGGAAATTGGAGATTGGGGAAATTGGAGATTGGGGAGATTGGAGATTGGAGAAATTCCAGCACGAGCAGCCAGGGGCTGAGAGCAGGTCCTGAGTGCCTGGGAAGGGAAATGGAAGCAGCAGTGGCTCAGGATGTGGAGCTGGGGCTGCAGGGGGATGTCAGGACCTGCTCAGGGACCTCCCTGTCCCTCTGTGCCTTGGCAGCCCCAGGAGAAGGATTATCCACTGCTCCACCCAGAGCAGGACAAAGATTGCTTGGGATTGAGGCATGAACCAGGACAAGATGTAATTAATACCTGCCAGGAAACCCTTCCCGATTATCCTCACTAGGCAAAATGATATTAAGGATTTATATTAATAAACATATATCCATATGGAGGAGGTGATGTCTCCTGCTAAGGAATAAAAATTGCACAGACCATTAAAAGTGACTTAGAAGGCTTCTGTGTTAATAATGAAAGATCTGGAGAAGTCTGAGCAGTCGTCTAGAAGGCCAGAAAAAGATCATTAAGAGGATGTCTCCTGCCAATAGCTGCCAAGAGCAAACAAGGGAAAGAAAACAGAAGGTTTTGGATCCGGAAATGCATAGAAAATGAGAGTACAGGCTGTGGGGAATGCAGCCTGGCTGCCTGTGAGGAGGAGGCTCCACATGGCCTTCATCACTCCTCAGCAAGCTGCTGGGAATGGGAAAGCACTGCCACTGGGATTGTTACTGGGGAGAGAAAGAAATGATTCACTGAACATCATCTTAGGATGAACATTCAGCAGAAATCAAAGTGTTGAGAAAGGAAAAAAATACTCTTCTGAAAGCTGAAATGCTGCTTCTGATTTAGAAATAATCACAGAAATAAGCCATTACTGGTGGCTTGGGAATAATTTGGTTTTTAGCCCAAAATTTTAATAAATCCAGGATGAAATGT